ATTGAGCAGACTCGAAGCTGCCGGAGATGTTTCTTTAAACGGAGCTCGGTGAGGACTTGAGGATTATCGCTTCTTCCTGACGGAGAACCTGACAGTTTGGGTTGCCAGTCTTGGGCTTGCTGGTTGGCGTCTTGTTTAATTTAACTGCGACAGACCCCACAGACATAACGAGGTAAGTTCGGGACGCCGAAGTACCGAGCCCAGCTCACGTTTAAACATGGTGTTAATTTGAAGACTTGAGGTTGAAAGTGTGACTTTAGGGGGTTCATCTCTCCGCTCAGCTTCAGGATGCTTTTGTCAGTTGGCTGCTGCTGCTGCTGCTGCTGCGGTGATGGACTCCCGTGTGTCGGTAGCCGGATGGTAACGTTAGCTAACTATTAGGAAAACACGCTCAGTGATTTGGCTTCTTTAAAAATATTTATTAAATGCGTCGGTTAGCAATTTAATGTAGGCGTTGGCGTGAGGTGTTGGTGTGTAGGCGGACTGGTCATGCTTTTAGAGCAGTTAACGGCTACTTTGAACAAGTTTTGACTGGAGCTAAGCAGCTAGCTAACCTGCTATAACGTTGCTACGAATATTCCACACAAATAAAAATTGTTTTGATATTAATTTTTTAGAAACACAACTCAACTAGTTTAGAAGGGAATATTATCTTTTTAAAAGTTAATTTGATCTTATATTTCTCCAGTAAAGCCTTTTTATTACATTTATAAAAAAGCAAAACAAGCTCTGAGCTCTGCTACTATGGTCTGCTGGAGTGGAGCAGTTGGCTGTATAGATGAGTTGATTTATGGATTATACTGTAAAGTTGCACAAACAAACACATTTAGGTCAATCGATCCCAAATGTGGGGATCACCAGGGATTGTTCTGAGGCTTCAGGGGATGTCTCTCCACACAGAAGGTGTAACTTTACTAAACTCAGTGTTTTATCTTTGACTATGCTGTTGGAAAAGTTAATATTTGACAGCTACAGGTCACCTGGCCCTGGACATTGTAGATCCAGCAGCATCCCACATCTCTTTGTGGCTTGAGGTATCAATTTCATTTGCATATAAGCGCCAGAGTGAGAAATAATGGTTATCATTTGATGTGTTACTGTCAAACTATACTTCATGTACATTTCCTTTGCACCTGGTGAATTCAAAGTGCTTATTTGTTTGAGTGATTTTTCATTGTTTTCACAACATGACATGGATCAGCTAAACTTACAAGTTGCTGTGATTGAGCTGTGTCTCACAAATAAGAGCTGAAGCAAATCCAAAGTTAAAGTCTGAATATTGTGAGAAAATTATCTGTTGAAAAGAAATAGGGCTGTAAGGTGGCTCGGTGGTTAGCATCGTCGCCTCGCAGCAAGAAGGTCGTCGGATCGCATCCCGGTGAAGACACCCGGGATCTTTCTGCGTGGAGTCCTCATGTTCTCCCCGTGCAGCGTGGGTTCTCTGCGGGTTCTACGGCTTCAGAAACATGTCCAGAAACATGTTGAGGTTAATTGGTGATTCTAAATTGTCCGTAGGTGTGAATGTGAGTGTGCTTGGTTGTCTGTCTCTAAGTGTAGCCCTGTGATAGACTGGTGACCTGTCCAGGTGTCCCCTGCCTTCACCCTGAGTCAGCTGGGATAGACTCCAGCCCCCCATGATCCTAGTGAGGGTTAAGCGGTGTATAAACAATGGATTGTAGGATTTTGACATGCTGACTGTATTGATATATTCTAGCTATACACACAGCTAACGTGAATAAAATCAAATCAAAAGAGACAAATTGAGAAGACATTCAAAACGTTTCTAGTGCGTCACAGCTGTTTGAGTTCTGAGGAGGCATAGAGGTCTGACATTCTCGAGCAGGGATGCTCTGACAGCTGAGACGCCCAGACGACAAAAGCTCTGCAGCGGTAGAACTTCATTCCAGAAGCTCTCAGCCTTGTCAGTGTTCTCCGGTCCAGCTTTCCTGTCAGCCAGGATACAGCACACTGTCTATGGGATAGAAAGCTGAAGAGAGGGAGGCTGAGGGAACACAAAGCAAGCATCTGGTTCACATTGATGTAAACAGACCTTATTAGGTAGCTGTTTAGCTACAAAGCACTACTTACCGTTCCTTTGCCTCAACTTTACAAAGAGCTTGGGGTAATTTGTTTAAAACCAGTGCACATGGATGATTCACCAGCTCTGTATGTCTGAGTCACATTTCACTGGCACCGGCCCAATGCTAGCCACAGTCTCAAACCATTTGCCAGCCAGTTTTGGTTTCATGCTGCCTGATTCTCTGCATTCCTTTCTTTTCCTGCTTCTTCCCACTGCAGTCCCATTTCTTTCCCTGCTCGGCCTATAGTTTCTGTATTGTTTCTCCCTTTCTTTCTGCAGTTTCCCAGTCATTCAGGGAACTTTTTTCTTTCTCTTTAAGAGTCATAAGGTTGCCTTACACTCTATCCCTCCTGGGATGTCACACACACACACACACAGTCCTGTTTAATCTTTCCTCTCCTTTAGTACTGTGTCTCTTTGTCTACCGCTGAGTTATTCATCTCTGCTGTGCTGCTTGCTGCCTTTCTCTCCAACCGCCAGTGTCATTGTCCGACTGGGGTCCAGTTCTTTCTCTCTTTTACTCCGATGGTCCCATGTCATTTTTATGTATCCTGCCAGTGTCAGTGGTCAGGGTATTGGATTAGTAACAGTGCCCCGCCCTGCCCAGCCCTGAGTGAACAGCAGTACTACATCTAAATCTCTCCTTTTTCCTGTATAGAGATTTTGAACCGATAGAGACAGTGGCTAACAGGGTTTGCATGTGTTGTGAGTTTTGTTGGTCCATTTCGCATGTGCACTGCTGCTGAATCATTAGTATGGCTCCACTCCACCTTGAGCAATGCTGACACACCCAAACCAATTGATGTTGTCTTTGTTTATGAATTAAATTATTGTCTGTAAATCCTGTAAGGGGATGTGAGACACCGAAACAGCTCACCGATGTCCAGCAGACATCTACCATGGGTGGGTTGTCTCACATCTTGAGTTTCACTTTCACGTTTTAGTTCCATTTCACTTCTTGTGGCCGGAGTGGTGTCAGTACCTGACATGCAGACTGTCACGTGAACATTTAGTTTAAGTTGTATGTAGAGCAGTTCTCCGTTGCTGTCATGGTTTAGTTTTCAAAGAGAGTCAGCTATAGCTTACGTGTCATATGGTTTACATCCAGCAGTTTGTTGGTCCTGCTCTGGATGAAGAGCATCTTTTGTCTGTTTGTGCACATGATTGCCTCAGGACCTGAGTCAAGTTTCCCTGTGTCTGTTAGGGACAGTTCCCACCTTCCTGAGATTCTCCTTGTCATGACTGTAAAAGAAGTGATCGTAATGTCAGGGTCTGAAAAGTAAAGCCAAGCGACTTAAACCTACGTCCTTCCTAATGGTGTGATTATACAGAAGTCTATGAGAAATCGACTCTACTTCTCACTCAGTTTATTACATTAGCAAACATGTTCCTAATGACTCCATGATCTCAATCACTGTGTCCAAGTCTAATTGAACACAGCGTGATTCATTTTGTAAATTATGATCCCATTAGCAGTAAAGTAGATAATGAAGCAGGAAATGACTCAAACTGATGCCACAATGACCTGCCAGCCAGGATATAGGCGTAGCAACCTGTACCCATGAGGCTCTACACAGTAATAAATAGCTGTAAACACGTGTACGGCGTGTTATCTGTGGTTTCTTCTTGGAACTTTGACCTTATTAAAATTGCGTTTTTAGTTAACTGGTAACTACAGTAACCTAAAAATGTTTTGTTCGGGGTTTGGCTGTTTCAAAGGCACTCTTAGGAGTAGGCTGTTTGTGCAAGCCAAAATTAGTGCTCCAATTAACATTACAGTTACCACGAATGATGGATGCTAACCAAGCAAGCTGCTGCTCGAGTTAGCTGATGTCTCATTAGTGTCCCCTGGTTGTCAGTGACATCAACCCGTTGTCCTCCTCACTAGCGTCACCTGTTTTTTATGGCAACTTCTGGCTTCAAAACACCAGTATGTTGAAAACTGCTGCACCACGGTGACTCCATCCGCTTCTTTTACACCGTCTGCGTTGACGACTTTAGTGACGGCTCACGTGCACACGGAGGAATTATACCTAAAAGACACAAAGAGCAGCGCAGCACGAGAGTGGCCAAGGCAACACATGCCATCCCGGAACAGCGAGCCTCTTGAAATTGAAATAAAAAGGCTTAAAGGGGTTTTGCAATGAAAAAAATGAAGCAGTTTTCCAAGTTTAGAGTATGACTGGGCAATTGTTCGATTCAGCCTGGTTTTAGATCAAGTAGCGAGCGTAATTAGCCAGAAAAAACAAGGAAAGGCTGCAGAAGAATGTAGGATTTAATCAGACATTTCTGCAGCATTTCAGGGGGAAACGATGAGAAACAGCTTTGTGCAGGGGTGGCCGCTGTACAACAAGGAGGGGGCTGGTACGTTCAGGAGGAGAGAACTGCTGAGCTAGGCTGCTAGATGCCACTTAAGGTGCAAGGGAGGATTTGTAGGAATTAAAGTGCAAACTGCTCCCCTCTCGACGCTCTTAGTTGAAGCCTCTTGACGTTCTAAGGAGAAAGAAACCGTGAACGTGTGAAAGGAAAGCACTTGTTTCCTAAAGAGGCTGCTGTTGCCGTGGAGTCACAATGTTTTTGACCCTTGTCGTCGTTCCGATCTGCAGAATAAGTTCAACGCTTCCTGGATTTAAAAAATACTTCAGTTTGTTACCCACATCAATCAATATTGTCTCCCTTAAATGCCACCTATCAAGTAATCGAAGGTAATTCACCGTCGCTACAGGATAAGGATGAGTGCCAGTATCCAAATTGAAAATGCAAGGCTGTATTTACATAAACAGACTGCCTGGATCGATATGAGGGGGAGGGTTACAGTGAGGACATGCATTCACTGCTTGTAAATGGATTTTACTTCACTCTGTTAGTGCAGCATTTTTGGCTGTTCTGTGTTTTTTTCTGTGTGAAAATGCTGGTAAGTGAACAGACAGGTTTTATAATATTCAGCTCTCAGACGTGGACTGTTTTAGTCAGTTTTCGTGCGACGATGTGTTGTCCTGGCTCACAGCAAACAGAGAAGGCCTCTCCGTTGGCACTGGCAACCACAGCGGTAGACTGCTGATAGGCGTAGTCGTGCGTGGCGTTGCTATTATTGCCTGTTGACATCAACACAGTTTGGTTGGTTACAGTTTAACCTATTTTCTTTCATCAGTGTCTTTTTTTTTTTGTAATGTGGGACTGAATATCCTCCTCAGACGCTCTGTTCAGCAGAAACAACAGAGGACTGAAAAAATTAAAGACGACAATATTGATGTAGTGTTGTTGAGCATCTATGCCGGAGAAAGCCAAAACATCTTAGTTGACCGTTACGATGCTAATCTTCACCGATAAACTAATGAAGTCTAGAAAAACAAAGCGGCCTTTCGGCAGTGAAGGTTTCTGCGTGCGAGCTTTCACACTAACTTCCTGACTGTTGGGTACAAACAGCCACAGCTTCCCTTTTTGTCGTCTGCTGCCGCTCGTTTTAGACGCATGAGTTTGTAACACTCTGCTGCAGTTGTGTCCCTGACAAGCAGACTAATGTTGAATGTACGCTTTGACCAGGTTGTGTGAGACAAGTAGAAGTTAAACGGCTGCATCACAGAGAGAATTCAAAGGTTTGTGGATTTTATGTCTCATTAATGTAGCCCCCAGCACATGTGGTTGCCACAGAGCTGAATGAAGCCAAGTTGGAGTGGGTGGACTCACATTTGCTGTGTAACTTTTAATGTCTGGTTATTTTTAGCATCTCGTTTTATTGGCTAGATTGTCCAGCAACTTACCTTGCAAAGGATCTCAGAAACACCAGCGTTGTGTTCTTACTGATGATGAGTTTGTGGGTTCACTGATGCCATCAAATCCAACACTTACATTTAGGGAAAAGTACTGAATGAAACTTAAGTTCTCATCAGTGTTTTAACTTGCTTTCCCCTCCTGAAGCTCAAACATCAGAGCAGCATCTCTGCAGCTGGACACGTGTTGTTATTATCAGTGACATTCAGCAGGAAATACAGTCGAATTGGAGTCAAATGAGTCTGTACTTGAGTGCTCCTGAAACATCCATAAAAACATGCAAAGAACGAAACGCTTTACAGCAGCAGCACCAAAACAGAAATACATGCTGTGTGTTTTCAGTGAATGCTGGTAATCTTGCCACAGGAGTTGGCACAGCAAACAGCAAAGCTTGTGAGCTGTGGTTTATGCTAATTATCTGCGCTGCAACATCTTTGACCAATGAGCTTGCTCGGCTAAAGATGCCTGTTACATAATCTCGTCGATGGCCGCCTTGCTGAAAGTTAAACTTGTGGACACTGTAACCAACGTGAACGCCAGATAAAGCAGCAGAAACCAGGTTGTTCTCCGCTCTCGTCACATTCATCAGCCGCTGCTGAACTGTGACACTTTCTCAAGGTTTTTTGTCTCTTGACGTATGCTGAGTCTGTTCAGGTATGCAGGAGTTGTGTGTTTTTTGTCTCTTTACTGTTTTGTTCTATGCTCTTTAAATATGTCTGTGTCACAGCAAAGTACGATTGTCTTTGTTCTTTTAGCTTAATTGTGTGGTTTGCATTTGTTTGGATGTTGTGGTATTTCATTACGCTCTGTATTCTAAGGGAGTGTTTGAGCAGCAGGACGGATTAGTTGGATTACACGTGACTCAGATTAACTAAGAGAGCATCTGTCTGACACTTGCTGCTAGTTTTACTACGTCCAATGCATCAACTACTGACAGGCTCACTGTTACTGCTACGACAGGCGTCCTCGGATGTCAATTAAATTTAATTTAATGAAGGAAAAAAAACAGCTTCAGTCACTATAAGTTGAAATTGACAAAAGTAATAATAAATCATAAAAATCATGACTTTGCTTTTGAATTGTGGTTCAACAGAAATATTTTTTAAAAAAAGCAAGCATGATGGGACCCACTGCTGCTCATTAGCAAAGTGCTCTAATTTGTCTGGGACAGTTTCGGGGGTTTTTTTGTTTTTGTTTTTGTTTTTTTAATTTTTATTTTCAACCACAATTCAAAAGCAACATCTGATTTCACTAAACTATAATTTAGCAAATTTTTGTTTATGATTACTTTTTTCAGTTTCTAATTATTTGAGTGACTGTTGTGAATTTTGCTTTTTCTTTAATGAATACATTTGAGGACGACTGTATGTATTTCACTGTACTAACTCATTCTGCTCCATCTGCTACTATTACTGCTGCTACTTAGACAAATGCATGACTATGATGAGTGATGCTATGACTGATTTTTAGACCGACTAAAACATTTACAGATGCTGTCACAACTGTCGCTGCAGCTGCTAATGCTTAATTTCTGCTACTGCTACACCTTAAACTCTTCTACTAGTTGTGCTGTTTTTGCTGCTAATACTTTAAGTAGCAGGAGCAGCTACTGCATCTAGATGTGAAACTGTTTAACGGTTCAGGAACAGTTTCTTTCCCACCGAGGACTGTAAATATTGATTTTAACATAGACTCTCTACTGCCTTTCACATTCAATTCAATTCAATTCAATTTTATTTGTATAGCGCATATTTACAACAACAAGTCATCTCATAGCACATGTGCGGTTACTTTTGGGACATGTGCAATAACCTCTTATTTATTTTCACTCACTGCACTGCTACAACAGTATTTATAACTTTATTTGTCTCAGGTATTTTAACTGTGTGTGTTTGTATCGCTGACCCTGCATCATCATTTCGTTCTGCAGTGCATCCTTCATGTAATTTGTATGAACGACAACAAAGCCGTCTGAATCTGAATCTGAATCTTCCATGGGTGCATGCAAGGGTATAACTGCCCACTGCAGCTGAAGCTACAACCCCGCCAAGAGCCACTATGACTAATTAGTTTGCTACTATTACATGAGCTGCTGCTGCTGCTGCTGTCTTTATAAAAATGGCATAATTCTGGGTTCCTGCTTTGTTTTAAAATGACAGAAAAAAACGCGTTTCTACCAGATCTGAATATTCATCGTCTCACATTGCAGGGAATTGCATGTTATGCTGTTTTGGGCTGCTAGGCAGAAAAAAACAAGACATTTGATGAAGTCGCCTTGGGTTCTAGAGCTCTGTTTTATGATGTTTAATACTGATTAATCAAGCAAATAACTGCGGATTAATTGATAACAAGACTAAGCTTTAGCTGGAGGCCTAATCTCTGCTAATAGTAGAGAGAAATATCTGATATCGTGCTCCTTTGTGCCAATTGTAATTGTGCCTGTAATTTTCAAGACAGGCACACTTTGTTTTACTGAAAATGCACAGTTTTGTTATTTTCATTATACTTATGTACACAGTTGGTGACAGTGTATTGGACATCCGACATAAGTTGTTAGATTAATTCTTCATAACTAACTTTACAGTACAGTTGCTTTATTATTATAAGAAAGGTTAATTCTGTTCTCTTTGATAAGTAACCGATGGAGGAGATATTTGGCTCA